AGCTCCCTCCTGGTCACACGGTGCCGCTGCTCAGTGGGGGACAAAACGCGGCTACCGTAGGCCACCACCCGCTCTACCCCATCGACAACCTGAGCCAGGACGGCCCCAATGCCCGTGTCACTGGCGTCGGTGTCGAGGAGGAACGGCCGGGAGAAATCCGGGTACCCCAAGGGCGGCGCATCTGACAAGGCTGTGCGAAGCACCGCAAAAGCGGCCTCCTCCTCCTCCTTCCCCCAGCGAAATTTCTGTCCCTTGGCAGAGAGTGCATGTAGTGACTTCGCAATAGTCGCAAAATCGTGGACGAACCGGCGATAGTACGATGCGAAGCCCACAAAGCTACGCACCTCAGCGACAGATGTGGGAGTCGGCCACGTCCGGACACAAGCAGTCTTCTCCGGATCCGTGGCCACACCTGACGCGCTAACAATGTGGCCCAAATACTTCACCGATGGTTGCAGCAGGTGGCATTTCCGAGGTTTGAATTTTAAGCCCGCAGCGCGCAATTTGGCGAACACCGCCTCCAACCGCTGCAAGTGTTCGTCAAACGTACGTCCAAAAGCGATAACGTCGTCCAAGTAAATCAAACAAGACTCCCGCTGCAGCCCCGCCAAGACCAATCCCACGAGGCGCTGAAAGGTGGCCGGGGCCGAATGAAGACCCATAGGGAGCCGATTGAATTGGAACAGCCCCTGGGGTGTGCGGAACGCGGTCTTTGGCCTGGACGCCTCATCCAATGGTAACTGCCAAAAGCCCACAAAGCAAATCGAGGGTCGAGAAGAACCGTGCACCCGAGAGGGCGTCGAGGGAATCGTCCATGCGAGGCAAGGGATATGCATCGGCCACTGAAATCTTTACTCTTTGGTTCTATTCGGTAAAGTCACGTAGGTAAATAATAAAACAACAATAATCACGACGTTTCGGCCACAACACAAGCGGCCTTCATCAGGTGAAGGGACGAGCCTGTCTGGAGGACAGCGCTGGAGTGGAAGAAGCCACGCTTAGATCACGACATTTAAGCTTGTGATCGCGGCATCTTTTGAGGAAGGTCAGCGTCTCGATGAGCTGTGACTTCTTGTCCCGTTGTCTGTTAAAAGCTCTAACAGATGGGTGAAAGCCCTCCCCGTAGAGGTTATCAATTCTAGATTTAAAGCTTTCGTGACTGCAAGGATCCATACTCTTTGGTTCTATTCGGTAAAGTCGCGTAGGTAAATAATAAAACAACACCTACGTGACTTTACCGAATAGAACCAAAGAGTATGGATCCTTGCAGTCACGAAAGATTTAAATCACTGAAATCTTGTTCAATTTATGGAAGTCGACGCAGGAGCGGAGACTCCCGTCCCGTTTCTTGACTAGCACGATGGGGGCTCCCCAAGGGCTGGTGGAAGGAGAGATAATGTCCGCCGCCAACATGTGATCAACTGCGGAGCGGACATTATCCCATTCCGCTGGGCTAAAGCGGTGTGAGTTCAGCCGAATAGGGGCCGCCGAGTCGCCCGTGTCGATATGATGTTCCAGGAGAGTGGTACGGCCCAAATTCGAATTTGCCCTGGCTGAACACATCGGCGAATATCTGACGATGAGATCGCGGAGGAGCCGCTGGCGCTCCTGGGAGGGCAACGAGGCGTTCTCAATGCACAACGCATCGATCCAAGATGCGTCGGGCCCCCCCCCCCCCCACCCCCACGGGCAGTACTCCCGCCACCACCCCTCCCGGCGGCTCAAGGATGCCGGGAGGAGGGCCTGGGGTGGCATGCGCCAACCACGGCGCCAACAGCGACGGCGATCGGCGCGGGCCCCCGGATTTAGGACCTGCAAAGAAAAGTCCCTGGACCCGCAGCCACGGCTGTGAAAGCGCCCACCAGCCCGTCGAATCTCGCAAAATAATTGGAAGGAGACAGGAGGACGCCTGCATCCGGGGACTCCCAACGTCAATGGCCTGCGCAGCCTGAGGGGGAGCAGGATCCGCGACTCGGGTGGAACCGTCACGGATTTCGTGGTCATAGCCCGTACACTGGCGGCCAGGGGAGCCACGACCGAGGGGGACTGCGGGAAATGCAGCCGGTCCCCCGACGGCATCTCCACACACCCCTGGTCGCCCGGGATCCGAACGGGCATCCTGGCCAAAAAAAATCGGTGCCTAACAGGCACGGCACGGCCAGAGTCCTAGAGACCAACACAGGTCCCCGCAACGCGATATCTCTCCCCCCCCGTCGCCACAGACGCGACGACATGGCCCCAAAATACCGAGGCTACCCCCCGTTGGCAGCCACGCGCACACACTGTGCGGCAGCGACCGGAAGACGGCCTCGGACGCAATGGTGGCGGACGCCCCCGTGTCCACCAGGATCCTCGCGTCCACCCCCTGCACGCGCCCCACCACGGCCGAGGACCCGACAGCGGCGAGGTGGCCGCCGCTGTCGGGTCCCTCCGGGCCACGCGATCGTCGGGCGCACCCCCCCCCAGAGATGGGCCCATGAAGATGGACCCTAACCCTACGAGATGCCTGAGGTGGAGAGAGCGGCCGTGCGATGGAAGCGTCGCGACTTGCCTGCTGCCCGGGAGGCTCCGCTGCTGGGGGGACGCCCGCAAGGAGGAGAGGCCTTGGAGGAGGCCCCGGGCTCGTTGTTGCACCCGCTCTCAAAGCGGCCCACCTGGCCACAACGAGAGCAGGTGGGCCGCCCCCGGGCCTGCCAACGGTGAGGTCCCGCCCGCCCCGGGCCCCCCTGGCCGGCGAGCACCCACGCACGCCGCCATCGCTGGAGGCCGACGCAGCGCAAGGTGGGCCTGAATATTTCGCGCGACGGCCAGCGAAGTGGCCTTGGCCCCTGCCCCGATGGACGTAACAAATCCCCGAGCTCCCCTGCGAGGACCGGCAGCCTCTCCAGGACCAGGGAGTCCAGCGCGGTCCCTTCCGAGCCAATGCAAGGAGGGGAGCAGCGGAACGCAAGAGGCGATTCCCCCTCCCTCCCTCCCTCCCTGCGGCGCGCGGTGAACTTGAGGCGCGCTTCGTCGGGCGGCTCGAACACCTCGGCCATCCGCTGGTAGGCCGACTGCAGCGTCGCCTTCCTCCGCCGGTGGGATGTTCAGAAAGGTGTGCGGGTGCCCGAGCGTCCAAGCATGTGGGGGCAGTGCGAGCAGCTCCTCCTCTTCCGGGCCAGCGCACGGACCGACGGGCCGCATCAAACCTGGCCTGGAAATCCAGCCGGTCACCCCCCCTTCGTGGACACGAACGGCGCCACAGGGGTGCAGCCGACCCCGAACCCACCGGCCGGGACTCGCCCAAACAGCAGCGATCGCCGTGCCGCCCCCGCACCTCGGGCAGCTCCAGCAGGCGGTGAGCTGCGCTACCGACTGCTGGCGCAGCTCCAGCTTGGGCAGCTAAGCCCCGCCACACGTCGGCTGGCGGCGCCCGCAGCTCCCCCCCCAGCCGCCGGCCTCCCCCCCCCCCCCCCGGCTCCAGCCGGGCCACCTCCACGGGGCGCGTATCCTGGGGGGCCCCCGACCTCCGGGGTCTTCGCCAGGGCCGCGTCACCGTCTTGCTCTTCGTGGCGCCGGTACACCAGGCGCGGTCTTCCGTCTCGCGCCAATATTTGGACACGGTCGCGAGCACGGAAGCCACTTCTGACACCAGTTGTTGTGGTGTAAATGGCGACACGAAGGCAGACGTTGTCAGGGCTGACGCCAACCAGTTTATTAAGGGCTGTCGCCTAGCTTTTTGGGGAAGGGCTAACACAAGACTTGGGTAAGCTAAGTCTCACCACGGGGAAAGGGTACTGGGAATCCCCCTTGCCTGGAGCTCGTCGTCCCCTACCCTGGGTCCCCACTTCCCTATCGCTCACGAACCCGGCTCCTGGCGAAGACCCCCTCTACGTCACCGGCCCCCCCCCCCCTCAAATACCCCGAGGGGACGTGACGTCACTCCTCCCGAGGCGAGTGTGACATTCCGTCATCCCTCTACTCCTCAACATATATATAAGGGCAAATATTGTTAATCTTAATTTTGTAAAAGGCTCGATATCCAACAGTTCTTACACGAAGTGGTGCAGATAAATGCACAGCGAGGACGAGACAGGTCCCTCTAGGTTCCTTATTTTAAAGAAAACTACGAACTGTTCTCGCGAGGAAGATGGCACCAACACTTCTAAGCTGACAGTTCGTGTCGCACAAACATCCACAGTCACGTGAATACAAGGGCATTGCTCATAGTCATAACACACAATCGATCTGTCCAGACATCCCATATTCTATACGTGACCCTGATACGCGCAAATTGTTACATCGAGACTCACAATCGGTTGATGCGTAATCATTCGTTCGTAATGCTAAATAATGTTTTCAATGCCATCAGATTTACAGAACCCGAAGAACCAGAAGTGTATTTTCCGAGCAAAGCCCATTGGGCAGAGATCTGTTTCAAGGGCGACTCGGGCCAGTAGGTAACATCAAAGCATTCCACCCAATTACAGATAAAACAAAGATATGTAATGATAGTAACCACGTTTTAAAATAGCATTCACACCTAAACGTTGGTGATTTTAATAAGGGAATCAGTTTGAATGAGGACAGAAGATGGCCGGATGGAGATTCCAAGAGACGAAACTTCTTAGGTGGTTCCCAAGGCTTTGGGGTAGCTACGTTAAATGAAAGGTAATCTCCGAGTGGACGACGCCGACAGCTGCACACATTGTTGTAATGAGAGATGCCTGTAAATAAGGCGACCTTCATTGGGAATTCTTTCAGACCTTTCCAGACCCCACTTCAAACGTGTTGGGCCCTCTTACTCTGCTTTGTCCAAAAACTTTGAAGATAAATTTGCCCATTAAGAGCCTGAACAGAAGTGTGGCAGCGAGCACCGATGAAGGCCGGCATGCTACACGAGGGGGTGGGTGGCCAGCACCATGCCCGTCCGCCTTTGTCTCCCCAGTGGTATTTAGGCACCACACCAGGTACTCATTTGAGGCTGAGTTGACCCAGGACCAATTCAGATAATTGTCACCGATGTCGACCGTGAACGGGAATCAAACTCGGGTTCCCCGCGCTCGTAAGGCGGCACACTAACCACTGCACGATCCCTCCCCCAAAAACTCCACCCACACCTCCACATCCACAACCTCATGGGGGTCGCCTCGCCCTCCCTCAGAGTCCGAAAGCTGCTCCTGCTTGACGCTGCCTCCATCCACCTCGAGGTCGGGGCCTGGAGTTGAGTCTTCATCTTCACATTTCACTTTCACTTCTTCACATTCCATCTTCACCTTTTCACATTTCACCTTCACCTCTTCACATTCCCCCTTCACTTCTTCCCGTTCAACCTTCACTGATGGCCACGTTGCTAAACTCGGGTTGTCTTTTGGGTCTTGTTGCATGCGAGATGGGCTGGATTCCACCTCCTCCACATGGATCTTCTCATGCCAATTTCGGTCGACTGACTGTGCGAATAACTTCCCACACACAGTGCACTTGAAGGGCTTCTCGCCTGTGTGTCGTCTCTGGTGATGATTCTTAAGATATCTTGACTGTGTAAATGCTTTACCACACACAGTGCACTTGAAGGGCTTCTCGCCTGTGTGTTTTCTCTGGTGACTGTTCAGAGATCCTGAGCGTGTAAACGCTTTACCACACACAGTGCACTTGAACGGCTTCTCGCCTGTGTGTGTTCTCTGGTGAATGTTAAGGTATGCTGACTGTATAAACGCTTTACCACACACAGTGCACTTGAAGGGCTTCTCGCCTGTGTGTGTTCTCTGGTGAATGTTAAGAGATGCTGACCGTGTAAACGCTTTACCACAAACAGTGCACTTGAAGGGATTGGCGCCAGTGTGTGTTATCTGGTGAATTTGGAGATGTGATGAGCGTTTAAATGTCTTCTCACACAAAGTGCACTTGAAGGGCTTATCGCTTGAATGTGTTCTCTGGTGAATGTTAAGATATGCTGACCGTGCAAACGCTTTACCACAAACAGTGCACTTGAAGGGTTTCTCGCCTGTGTGTGTTCTCTGGTGAACGTGACGAGTTGCTGAACGTGTAAACGCTTTACCACAGACAGTGCACTCGAAGGGCTTCTCTCCTGTGTGCTGTCTCTGGTGAGTTCTAAGTTGTGATGAACGTCGAAATACCTTCTCGCATACAGTACACTTGAAGGCCTTCATGGCCATGTGTGATTTGTGGTACAAATTAATGTGTCCAGTGTGGCTCATGTCGTATGGACACTGCTCGCATTGGTTCCTTCTAGCACTGGGCTGTCTTGAGTCTCTGCTTCATGTCATTCAACCTACACATTACACACAACAAATATATACACGCACAATTACACACAATATACACGATACACACACATTATACACCTTACACAATATACACATGCGTTACATACTGACACACAGTACACCCAGGGGACATAAGATGCACACATTACACACAATATACACAGATTATACACCTACACGTAGTATTATTCACGATGTACTTACAAAAAATCAGCAGACTACCTGCTGGATCTCCTCCCTGTTTCGAAGAACAAATGTGACCTAAGGTCTTCGCTCATTCACCAGTTTCACATTCCTTATTGCCGTGCAAATACTGGAGGAAGGGCCTTTTCTATTGATGCCCCCAGGGTCTGGAATGCTATCGCCAATAAACTGCAACTTGGATCACTACCTGTGAGGTCTTCACTCAAAACTGCTCTAGAGGAGTTGTACGCCCCTAGCTGCCACTGCTATTCAGAATGGCCTGAAATAAAATGTTTTGCTCCGGATGACCGCTACAAAGTATGATCTTGAGTTATGATTATAGTGTGCTGATCTTTTCAGGTGTATTGAACATTTTGGATTCTGCTACTGATGCTCCTGCTGTTATGGAGTGACTCATGCAGCCAGCTATGGCTGCATAGTTTGGTCGTACATGTTGTGTGGATATCGTTTATTGTTAAGTTTCAATCACAGTTCCTATGATCACTGTTACATTTTTTATAGCTTTATTTTGGTGATTTTGAAAACGTTTTGGTTTTGCCATGTTTGTTTGTTGTAGTACAGAGTTAGCCTGATAACTTTAATCTACATTGTCTTATGGTTGTTATTGTTTGACCTGCATCCCACTGAGATTTTTGCACACAGCGTTGAAATACGGTGTTTTTTTCTCGAAGACTTTGCTGTCTTTTCCAGGATTTTTCTGTTGCGCGTCGTCACTTTAAGATGTTTTCTTGTTCATGTTTTTGTTTTGTTGCGGTTACACCCGAGTCAAGAGCCGCATGGCTCACAGGGTTATACCTAATAAATGAAACTAAACTAAATGAAAGACCCATCCCAACAGATACTTAGCCATGCGGTGGCTGGGAATGCGAGCGACATAACCCAGCCAATGCAGACTCGCTTGCCAGGAGAGCTCACAGATTTTTGTTTTAAAATGATTCAATATTTTTTTTATCACACCAGGTAAAGCCCACTGAGCAATATATCTCTTTTTCAGAAATGACCCGGCCACAAATGATAGCTCAACGAAGTGGCTTATCATCACGTGGAAATGTTTAGCAGCCAAATATGCTAAAAGTATGTTTCTAAATGTCAGGGTCCGGATTGAACCTATGACCTCCTGTATACCAGGCGATGTAGTTAACATCTCACCATTGTGGCACACTGATGGGACTTTGTCCAGATCTTGCAATGATCCCTGAACAACTTACACAAACCAGTGTGGTTAATCCCAGGATGGATTGTAGACAGGTTAGCCTGAATATTACCAAATGGTGCAGATGTTCAGTTAGAGGGGGCTCCACATTTTGCAAAGGAGGGCATGGCTGTGTAGAGGTGTTATGGGAGGACACGCGGTTGTAGGGCAGTGGCCACAAACACGTCCGCTACAGCCACCACCCTGGGGGGCTGTGGGGGACGCTGTGATCCCTCCCAGCCCCACCCCTCAGTGAGGGACTGTATAAAAGGTGGGACCCGGAGAACTGAGGCGCAGTTCGACTCAAGCAAGGTGAAGAGCCAGTGAAGAAACAAGATCGACTAGCCAGACCCTGGAACTCCTTTGGCCCGCTGTCCTTTCGAGGGACGGACTCGTGTGGCTGGTGATCGGGACCTGCGTCGAAGCTGGGCCAGGTCAGACAGCCTCCTGAGGGAGGACCAGGATAGAGGGAACCAGGGAGCTAGCGTGGGCTAAAGCTCGGGGAACGTTCCCTCTATAGAGTACGGGTGAAGAGGCCGTTAACGCTTCAAGTATCAGATTCGCCACTGTAATTGAAGTGTCTGTAATAAATACGCGTTGTCTCCAAAGAACAGTCTCCGACATCAATAAGGCCACTACAACTGTATCCGAGAAGACCTGAAGCTTCGTGTGGAGCGACAGGCGAGGTAGCCGCCATGCAGAATTATGCAGTCGATTAAATGAAAATGCTGTCGGACTTATTCAGAGTGAGACCTCTGCTGTCAAACCGGTGCTGGACATGAGGACACTGCCCAGGTATGGGAAACTCTCCAACCTCTCAACTGCTACACCACCAATGGGGAGCTGAGGGGGTGGAGTCTTTGATGACACAAAATACCCAGGAAGGTGCTTAGTTTTGGTGGGGCTGATGGTAAGACCCCACCTCTTTGTGGCACACTCCAGGTTCAGCAGCAGCGCCTCCAACTCCTCCTCTGAGCAGCAATCACCAGATCAGCAAACATAAGGGGCCGTCCATAAATGACGTCACACACCTAGGGGGGGAGGGGGGTCAGACATTTGTGACGATGTGTGACGAGGGGGGGAGGGGGGATTTGAGAAATGTGACGTAACATCAAAATACACAACTTTAAATAAATATAAATGGAATTGTTATAACACTAATTTTGAAAAATTTCATTAACTATTTCATTATTTAAATTTACTAAGGTCACCTTTTATTTATTCCATGAAGGAGCATTTTGCTTAGAATTTCAATATAATATTCTCAACATTTACAGTTTTAGTTAAGCTTTGAATATTTTCAAGCGAATTTTATGGTAAATTTCAGCTTTCCAACGTCTCATTTTTAATACGCGTTTTCTCCTACAACATCAGAGAGTGCAGCGCCACATTAAATACGCACTACAATGACAATAGTTTAAAGTGATTTGAAGCATGTTTTATTTTCAAAATGGAAATATGGTTTTGGCGGGGGGGGGGGGGGGCAGAGCTCCGTGACGTCATAATGGAGGGGGGTCTGACTTCTTGTGACGCCGTGTGACGAGGGAGGGAGGGGGTAAAAAATCGGCCAAATTCGCGTCATGTCATTTATGGATGGCCGATCTTGACACCGCTGGTACCAGTCGTGAGCAAGTTCACTCAGCTCCACATCCTCCTGTATCACATCACTCATCTCATCTTTAGCCCATGACACACCCGTTTAGCCTCCTGTATGTAACTTAACAAAAGCTGCTTGGGCATGCAGTGGCTGGGCATACGGGGCACACGACCCAGCCGACGCATCCTCGCCTGTTGGAGGAGTTCACCGATGGGACTGTCCAGATCTTTCAAGGATTTGCGAGCTCCTCACATAAAGCAGCCTGGCTAAATCTCGGCCAGATCGAAGGCAGCGGCGGTAGTAACGTGGGCAGCAGTAGCAGCTGTTGAAAATTATCACTTAGGGCCTACAAGAACCTTGACCCGTCCCTGCAGCAACCACCACTACTACAAGCACTAAAACCACAACCAAAACAACTGCTACAACCACCACCACAACTACGACCACCACAACCACGACCACCACAACACCACCACAACACAACCACCACTACCACCAAAACACAACCACCACAAAACTACCACAATTCTAGATTTGAAGCTTTCGTGACTGCAATGATCCATACTCTTTGGTTCTATTCGGTAAAGTCACAAATTGAGCTGCACTTGTGGTGATTGCTATATCGGGGAGACGAAACGACACGTCTCTGACCGAATTCGCGAGCACAAATCAGATTTGAAACACGGCAGAACGAATTCTTCTGCCGTAGCTGACCACTGTTACAACGCTGTTGGTGATCACGATATAGTTTTCTCCGATACCAAGGTCCTTTGTAAACCCACGGGTTATCATCAGAGATTTGTCCACGAGGCAATTCAGATTTACAAACACAGACACAATTTCAACCGAGAAGATGGTTTCAAATTAAGCAACCATTGGAAAGATGTTCTAAATCATACCGAACATTAAACTGATTTTCAATAGCATTTATCCAAATAGTGACATACCAAACTTTCATAGACGCTTATTTCGCTTCACACATACATTTATAAACCCCCACCCCGTGCCGGTCCTCTTGTGCTTTTCGGTCATGTTATGCTAATTCCTTTGTCAAAGCGTTTTGTTTACTCCCACACAGCTTAAAAGGACGCGACCTGGGCTGGACTGTCTTCACTCCAACGCTGTCCTCGTGACAGTACGGTCCCCTTCACCTGATGAAGGCCACTTGTGTTGTGGCCGAAACGTCGTGATTTTTGCTGTTTTATTTTTTTTACCTACGTGACTTTACCGAATAGAACCAAAGACTACCACAACAACAACACAACCACCACAACACCACCACCACCACAACACCACCACCACAACACTACCACAACAACACAACCACCACAACACCACCACCACAACACTACCACAACAACACAACCACCACCACAACACCACCACCACAACACCACCACCACAACACTACCACAACAACACTACCACAACAACACAACCACCACAACACAACCACCGCCACAACACCACCACCACAACACAACCACCACAACACAACCACCACAACACAACCACCGCCACAACACCACCGCCACAACACCACCACAACATCACCACAACACAACCACCACCATACTCTTTGGTTCTATTGGGTAAAGTCACGTAGGTGAAAATAAAATAACAAAAAATCACGACGTTTCGGCCACAACACAAGCGGCCTTCATCAGGTGAAGGGACGAGACTGTCTGGAGGACAGCGCTGGAGTGAGAAAAGCCAAGCTTAGATCACGACCTTTAAGCTGTGTGAGAAGAAAACAAAGCGCCTTGACAAAGGAATTAGCGTAGAATTTAGCATTGAAATGGCTCATTGAAATAACCACCAACACAACACCACCACAACAAAAACCACCACAACACCACCACCACAACACCACCA